ACTTAGATGATGAGAGAACCTGAAGCTTTTGAGCACACTTTTCTTCGAAATTTTGATTTGATCAAACAATTTCTATAGAGGAATCAAGAAAGAATAATATGAAACAAATTTCATATTGTTTTGTTGAGAATTGAGGGAAAAATCAAAGAATGGCGTGTTGGCTTTGTAGGGTTGAAAGAGCATGAAATTGTGGTGGAAAACTCACACCAAAATAAAGAATATATCAATCTAACCTTCTTTTTTAATGTAAAATGGTTCAATAATCTAAGAACTTATAAGAGAGGATCAATAATCGACTGCTTGTTTCACATGAAAAGGGTTACCAAGCTCACTCTCTCCGGTCTAGGCCAGAACAGATACGTAACTCACTAGTTCCAAGTCAACTCGGGTGACTTTTTTAAAAGTACTGACTACAAAGAGTACTTTTTTTTTTTTTTTTATATAAGGAGGTCACAATTACTCTCATTTATTAGATGTTAAATTAGATGGTTTGGGATGAGTCACGAAATCCAAGAATTTTTTTTTTTTTTTGGAAGTTTGTGTCTAATCAATAGCATTCTTTTTTATTTTTTTTTATCTTTTTTGAACTTATAATCAATAACATTTTTACAATCACCTATTTTGAAATATAAAGGGCAATAATGATTGTGACCTCGTTGTACAAAAGGTAAAAGATCTCTTTTTAGACAATCTCTTTTGTTATTTTTAGTTAACCTTAACGTTGTCTTTTAAATTAATATTTTTATATTACAATCACGCAAATTAAAATATGACCGACAAGAGTAATTATGACCTCATTGTATTAAAAGTATACATTCTCTTTGTATATTACGGAAAAGTTTGTATAGAATATGACAAATCTTACTTGTAGGAGTAAGGCTATTGTATTCTACATTATCTATTTTATTAGGAGAAATGAGCCACTCACCATATGATCTAGATTTGACAACTAAGAGTTTATTTTTAATATTTTTTACAAATCATATGAATATAAACGTTAGTAGGTATCATCGCATACCTAAATAAAATATTAAAAATTATTTTAGAAAAATAAAATGACCAAAATGATTACTCTTGTTTGTCAGATTAATAATTACTCTTGTTTGCAAGTGCAAGTTTAATAGAGCAGTGGACACCGCAAATTTGGTGTTAAAATACTTTGTAGAAAAAATAAAAAATAAAACACCTTATCGGCGTGACATTGCGATTGGGGTGATTTCAACCATCCATTCAGATCAACCAATTCGGAGATGGAGAAATATATAAGATGTATATGGTGGGGAAGTATAAAAAGTTTTCCCTTTTATTAGACCATGTATATTTGACATGTCATTTAATGCATTGTTCAATTTTTAAAGGTGTATAAAAAAAATAAAAAAGCTTTCAATGAGATCCCACCCACATTTAAATTATATGTGACCCACTTCTTAGTTGTTCGATCTAAATGGACATTTAGGATTGTATATGTCTCAGTGTCATGCCAAATACTGTATTATTGTTAATTTTTGTACAAATATTTTTTCAGTGAAATTTGGGGTGTCTCATCATCTTATTGGAGTGCACCTAGCAAAAAATAAAATAAAAAAAATTCTCATAAAAATAAATGACCAAAATATCCCTAAAAATTTTAAGGCCATTTCAATATATATATATATATATATATATATTATTTATTTTTATTTATTTTAATCATGTACAACCTTGTAAGATATATGTATGTCCCAAATTTGGCTACAATGGTTGTAGAATAAAGATTATAAATAAACATTCTGAGCTATTAGATAAAGATTTGATGCTTAAGCACCAATTTGTGACATTGTGACGCAAGCCATTCCAGTCATCTACTTAGATTTGACGACTGATTATATGTAGGTGAAGTTACATGTAAAGTCTTTCCATAAAAATATGTGTCAAATATATACTATCCAATTAAATAAGGGTGCAGTTTGCATACATCTGTAGGTGTAGAGGTAAGGTACACTTTCAAATTTGATCATGGTATATAATTTTGATGTAAAACGTTTTTAGGATTATCTCAAAATCTATTTTTATATCTAATTATAAAATTTTAAATTTAAAAAATGGTTAAAATCAAATAGATCTATAAACATATGAAAATCTTGAAAATGGTTGTTACAGATAGTATGTTGTAAAATACACTATTATGAGATTCAAAATCGTTTTATTTTTCATAGTCATACATCTTGATGTCAAGATGATCAATCAAAGGGTTTTTCAACATTAAAACTATATTTTCTGATAGATTTTTGAGGAGCTTCCGTAGTTCTACATTATAAGGTAGCATCCTTATATAAACTTTTTCAATTAAATAAACGGTATTGAACATCACAATTTTACTTCTACAAATAAGTTGACCGCCTTACATAAATCCCACCCTTTGGTAAATAAATATTACTCTGGAATTAACCTCTACCCTCCAACGGTATATACATTAGAAGAACCATTTTATGTTGCGTTCAATTTGAGCATTGCGTTTAAATATCCAGCTTGTATACCATGCTCCCATTGGTGCATATTGGTAGAAGATTAATAATTTGGAATTTTCTAACGCTTAGATTTCACCCTTCCAGAATTGGACCGTTTCAAGCCCATAGAAAATACAATTTGGAATTTATGTTATTGCCCATGGAAAATACAATTTGGAATTTATTTTATTAAGTTTAATGCAATGCGTTGAAGATATTATATCTCAAAAATTTAAAACACGTTTGACACGTGGAGTTTTGAGGAGTGGAAGGGAGTCTCCCACAAATTATGAACGCCTGCCCTTCTTTTATTTTTGATGGAAGGGAGGTATTCCAAAATAGGGCCCCATTTTGATGTAAAAAACATGCTGCGACGAAGGCTGTCTTTCCACTTTGCAGCTTCCATACTGTAATATCAAACATGGAAGTGTGACATTCAACTGCGACTTCCAGAAACTCTTAGTCCCAAAAACACTTTTAGAATGGGTTTTTCTCGAGGGAGTAAATGGACGGTAAGCTCCTTCGGGAGGATGAAATCTTTTGGGTCGCTATAGCGCACACACACTGGGGTGGCAATGTGCCAGGTGACCCGGCAGAGTTTGCCCGGCCCTTATTTTTCTCTTTTTTTTTTTTTTCTTTTGTATGTTTCTTTAATCTTATTTAACCTGGCCCTACCTTGGTAGGACAAGGGCTAGAGCTAGGCTTGGGCTAGCCCTTGGGGGAATAGGGCTGGGTAGGGCCAGGGCTAGCCCATCGCGAGCTGCACGTGATCACATCAACTTCAAATTTTAAAATAGAGAAATTCAAAAAATTCGCAAGACAACAAAAATCACATCAAATTTCTAAATTTAAAATAAAAAAAATGCCACTCAACAACGCGCTTAGTCGGCCATTGTGACCGGAGGGAACATGCCATAGAAGGTGCCAATAACAACGGCTCCTAAGAGCGCATATAAAATATTGTAATTTTTGGCAGCGCTTAAAATATGATTTTCCAACTCATTTTCGACTTATCACCCAATAAAATAAAAAATATTTTGTTTTAAAAATCAATTTTAACCCCTCTCCAAAATAATCACTTTTCCAAAATTTTACTTTTAAGAAAAATAGGGTGCACTTTCAAATAGTTCCCAGAAATTTTGGTTTCAATAGAAATTTATGATAGCTTTAAAATATATTTTCAACTCTAATTATAAAACTTAAATTTTAAAAACTATAAAATTTAAATCTTAAAAAATAGTATAGATCGGAAAAATTTATAAAAACTTAAAAATCTTAAAAATTGCCGGTCCAATGCACTATTTTTAAAACTTTCTTTTTTTTAACAGTTATTTCCAAAACTTGGAATTATTTTTTTCTCATGTCGAGATGATCAATTTGAGATATTCAAGCATCAAAACAATCTCTTCTAGCAAAATTTTGTAGGTCTGCTTTAATTTGATTGTTTAGAGCCTCGAATCTATATAAACTTTTTCCAAACCTAATATATAGTTTAAGCGAACTACACGATGCAAAATCAGAAATTGATCGTGCAAGTTTAAAATCCTCACCTTTTTTAGACTATGTAATAAAATCTAAAACTAAAAAAATAGTACATAAAATTTAAAACTAAAAAAATTGTACATATAGAAAAGATCTACAAACACAAAACCTTGAAAATAGACGGTCTATGCAAGGTATTTCAAGATGTCCATTTTTTGTACTGAAAAATTTTCTTTTCTTCTTGGATTCTTGAGCGTGCTTTAATGTTGAAACTTGTAACATTTTCCTTCGATAATTTATAAGGGTGAAGTTTGTATAAGGTGTGAAGGTGCACCTCAAACCCATCCCGAAAATGCAGTTTTGGAGCGGTAAAGTGTCGCGATGATATGAAAATCTATTGTTGCCTCAATTATGAAATTTTAAGTTTTAGTGACGATGAAACAGATCTATAAACATTTGAAAATCTTAAAAATGGATGGTTCAAATAATGTATTTAAGGATGAATTACTTCTAAGACTAATCAATTTGGCGGTTTTTTAACCTAAAAACCACCATAAATTGTGGGTTCTTTTGGGTGTGCGTCACCCATGAGACCTTATATAAACTTTTTCCAATTTTATGATTGAGTACCACGGTGTTATGTTCTCCTCAAATCCCAGCCACAAAAATAATAACAAAAATAAAATAAAACCCAAAGCCATGTATTCGTCGGACCTGACCTTCCAAACTCTACTCTCTCCTGCAAATTTATTTGACAAATAAATGTCCTCTTCTCTTTATCTTATATGAGAAATAGTCTCTTTTCCCCTGGCACCAGAACTAATGGTTTAATAATCTTTGTAACTTAATTCCCCTAATCTCTTTCTCTCCACTAATGAATTTCTCTCTCTAGTTACCACTTAAACCTCAGCTCACTAACGCATTCGAAAACCGTTAATTATTTTTTAAAACGGGTTGGGACCCGTATTCCCCACTAAACTACCAAAAAAAAAAAAATTCCCCGAATGAATTTCTCTCTCTTGTTTCAAAAAAGAATATCTCTCTCTTAAACATGAACCTCTGAAACACTGCAGAATTGAGGAGGAGGAAGTCACCCACCTCCAAAACCATCGATGGAGAGCCACCATTCCCTCTTCCTCTTCTTTCTCCTTAGCCTTTTCCACATCCAATCAGGCAATTCAGGTAAGTACACAACCTCTTAAGACATTCTCTCTCTCTCTAAAATGCTCTCTCTCTCAAATGTTCTTTCTTCTCTCTAATATTGAAAACCAAGACAAACCTAACAGTTGGCTTCTCTGTGTACTTTCTCTCTAATCCTATTTTCTCTTTCTAAACACATGTCCACTTTCTCTCTCTAATCCTATTTTCTCTCTCTAGACAAATGTCCACTGGACTTCAGCGAGTTCCCCTACGAGCCCGAATGGAGTTGCTTCAACGGCACCGCTAACCCACAAAACCAGAAACCATTAGCGGTTTCCTATTGCTGCAACCTGGCACTAAAAGCGGTTTTCCAGGCCATGGCACTCAACACCAACCGTACACGTGTCCTCTTCCTTGACCACGATGAAGCCCGATCATGCACAAACCAATTCCAAACTCTCTATGCACACACCGATTTCAGCACGTGCGATATCCAACGTGTAGTCTCTCCGGATGATGACACGTGCCCGAAACACGTGCAAAAGATTGCTGATAGACTCGGGGGATTCCAGTCGATACGGGAGGGGTGCGACGGAGTGAAAATCGGTAATTCCAGCGAGTCCGGGTGTATTGGATGTGTAAATTCGTTTAACAAGGCTTTGGACGTGTTGAAAGGAGACGATTCGCACGCGTGTGAGGAGGGGTTGCTTGTTGCGCTTGCGAGCTTGGAAGTGGGCTCCAAGGAATGGGTGGAAGGGCTCTTCAGTTGCTTGTGGGACGAAATTCGTAAGTTTCGTTTCGTTTCATGAAATTTTGGCCGAAAAATGACGAAACTTGGGTATGACTATTAATTACATAAAAGAAAGCCCGAAATATACTGATTTAGACATTATTTATTGAGAGATGAATTTGCAATCGGGTTTTGGTGCGGCAATGTGGCCTTTATTTTGTTTTGTAGTGGAGTTTGTACCTTACCAAAAATACTGAACTTCTGACGAAATTTTCCGAAAGTTTGCACATAATTACCGTGTTTTATTTTGTTTTGAAAGAGTTAACAAACCGAGCGGACTCGGCTGAGTCCGGTACAGGTTCCAAAATCCAAACAAATGTAAGAAATTGTTGGAAATAGCCAAAAATCAGAAAAAAGAAAAACAGAAAAAAGGAATAAAAATGGTCAAAAGCCTCAAAAGAGGTGAAATTGTTATATAATGGATGGATCATTAAAATTTTAATTGGTAGCTTTGAGATATTTCAAAACAATCAAAAAAAGGAGAAAATAAAAATTAGAGCATATAATAAAAAAGTGCACAAATCATCATTAAAAAGATAAAAATCATTTTAACACACATTTATAAGTCATCTATTAGTTATTGTCTAAGGACATTTTTTATTTTTTTCATAAGGGTGAGTTAGCTCCTCGGCAACATGCCCAAAAGAGTTACTTTGCCGAATTTTAAAATGCTGACCAAAATAAAATAAAATTGCAACCATATTCTACCTGAACTCGATTTTGCAATCATGATTTCAGTGTTTTCTTGCAGAGGACCCATGGGACATGAAAGAAGAGCCAAAGAGAGGTAATTACATTTAATTATTTGCTTAGATGTCAAATAAGGACCGGGATTCTTCAAGTAGCTGACTCCCATTAATTGAAAAAAAACTATGATGATGATGATGATGTCAAATAGGTTTTTTATTTGTTTGAGATTTGCGATTATGAGACAATGAAATCAAGGAACCAAAAATGCAGGAAAGAGTAAGACAATGATTTACCTTTCGGCTATTATCGTGTTGGGAGCTGGAATCTTAGCAGCAGTTATCTACAAAATAACGAAGAAGAGGCTCAAAAAGGAGTGTGAAAAAGACATTGAAGATTTATCAGGTAACTTCCAAACGTAAAATGAATAGGAAAGGAAGTTCATTCAATGTACTCTCTCTCTCAAAAGCCATTTGAACATCTCTCTCTCTACAGTGCAAGTAAAATCATTGGCAACAGAGTCTGAGAGCCCCTATAGTGTTTCTGGGCTCTACATATTTTCTCGAAGAGAAATTGCAAAGGCAACAGATAACTTCAATGCGTCAAACTTGATAGGAGAAGGAAGTGCAGGTGAGAGAATTAGAAGAATATCATTGATTTTAGATGCAAAGAACAAATCTGTAGAATTGACTAACTGTTTTGCATTGATAGGGAAAGTGTATAAAGGTATGATGCCTAGTGGACAGAGAGTGGCGGTAAAGCAAATAAACGCAGAGAAGAAGGCCGAAACATTTGGTGATGAGATAGTGAACGTGGCAAAAGTGAGGCACCCAAACTTAGTGTGCATAGTGGGGTATTGCGACAGGGAGGAGTATTGCTTGGTTTACGAGTATTGCGTCAATGGCAACCTTTCGCAATGGTTGTGGGGTACGCTCCTTCTCAACTCTTCACATGCCTTGTCGCTTTTTAAGGGAAAGGTTTCTATATACTTCCTACCGTATACCCTCCTAATTTGCCCTTTTTTATTTTTTTTTTCTTTTTCCTTTTTTTCTTTTATAAAAGAAAAAAAAAAGAAAAAGAAAGAGTCTACTCTAAACTACCCTCCCTTGTTTTTACCCACGTCTCTCTCTCCTCTTTCCCACAAAAGTCGGTCCGACGTATAGTTAGGGCAGTCTGGCAATGTAATGTCGGTCCGGCAGTACAAGTTAATAGAACAAAAAGGGGTCCGGTGATTAGAGATGCGTTGCGGCATTTGCAACAAGGGGTCCGAAGGTTGAAAAGTGAGGTTCAGCACTTATTTTTTTAGAATAAAGGGGTCCGACAATTCAAAGTTCAATCCGGCACTTACTTTTTTCTAGAACAGACATACTTTCCCCTCAATCCAACCTCTCGTTCAATCTAGATTAAGTGAGCCACTAATCGTTTGATATAAATATGACACCTTAGAGTATTTAATTTTAAATTTTTTTCTAAAAATTATATGGATATAAAATTTGATAGGTGTCATCATCTCAATGGGGCACACCTCAACAAAATAGTAATTTTTTTTTGATAAAATATAATAGGGGTGGCAATGGGCCGGATGACCTTGTACGGTTCAACCGTAAAAAACTAGGGCCTAGACCACATAATGTGGCTTGAGGGCCGGGTAACATGGACCTGAGTACAGTGACGGGCTGGGTACAAGGCCTGCATGGTTTGGCCCAGCACAAATATTTTTTCTTTATTTTTCTTTTTACTTTTTTTTTTTTTTCGCTCCGCCTTGCTTGGCCCAGCCTGGATAAGGCTAGGGCTAAGGCAGGCCAGAGCCAAGGCCTCTTTGGCCTAGACAGGGTTAGGGCTGCCTGGCCTCTTTGGCTAGGACAGGGAAGGGCCGGGCTAGGGTCAAGGATGACCTGGACCAGGTCCGACCCATTGCCCGCCCGAGGTAATTGGTGTACAAAAGATTGGGACATTTCCAGATAAATGTCATTATTAGTATAGGGCTGGTAGTAGCCAGAAGGACCGGCCTCGCCTGCCCCTGAAAACTATGGCCTCATCCACATGGTTGCCCCTCGATAGGGCCAAGCGCAGCCCAACCCTTATTTTTCCTTTTCTTTTTGTTTTCTTTTACTTTGGATCTATTTTCTCAGGTTTGGACAGGGTTGGGTAATGAAGGCCCAGTCCAGCCCGGCTAGGTCCAGGTCTGGCCCGATCCATTGCTCGCCAGTCCTATTTTTAGATTGCTCATGTGTTTGGCTTGAGGTTCCTTTCAAGCATAATTGTAATCTACTGGAAATAATATTCGGCATTCAATATTTACCCAGGCTAATATGTAATATGCTGAAATTTGTGATAACTAACCAAGAGGAGTGAATGGAGGCTTAGATTTTGAGGCAAAGTTTCGAGAACTTACTGAGCCATTGGAATCTCTTTCAAGCATAATTGTAATCTACTGGAAAAAATATTCGGCTACCCAGGCTAATATGTTATATGCTGAAATTTGTGATAACTAACCAAGACGAGTGCATGGAGGCTTAGATTTTGAGGCAAAGCTTTGAGAACTTACTGAGCCATTGATAGGAATGAGATTCCAATCAAATTGTGGCCCAACCAAGCTTAATAACACTATGAAATGGTGATCAGAAATTCAGAACTAAGAGATCTCAGTTAAACTCCACCAAAAATCACAGGCAGACTTTGAGCCTAAAAAATTTCTCAAAAGCGATGTAAATACTTCGGAATGATGCTCGATGATCTTTTGGCCACTTGAGAAGCCCTTTCATAGTAAATTCCTGAGTTTTAATAACAGTCAGAAAAAGCTTTCCGTGAGTTGGCAAGCAAACACCTAGAGAGAGATGAAGTATCAATTGGTGAAAATTTCTCAAAAAAACCTAACATTCATAAACAAATCACTGAAAAAGTGATACTTAGAGCTACACCATGATCTCTGCTCTACAAAGTAACAAGCATAGGCAGGAGAAATCTCGGCTTAAAACGAGTTGTCTGTGTTTCAATCACGGGATGCTCACACTATCTTTGAGGTATTTAGATGCTCTAATAACAAAATATCTCTACAATGGAATCAAATCTCCGACAAATATACTCTCGAGATAAAACTGGGCCGAGTGTTTCACTTACTTAAAGATATCTCAGTGTTGCACACTCTTGATAGACATCTGCGAACTACAGAGCCCAAGACTAGTGAACCTTTAAGGGAAATAGGTAGGGTTAAGAATCATAGAGAAACAAATTTATGGAAAAAAATGTTAAGAAGTCACTGTGAAAATCATTGCTGATTAGATAGCTGTAGTGAAAACTTAAAGAAGCATAGTTTCGCCTCTTTGATTTAAAATTCTCTGAAAAATATTTGGTTGGGTTTTTTCCAGAGGTTAAACTCACTATTCATCGACTGTAACTATAATAGAGCTAGGGGAAGTGGTAGGAAATGATGACATGAGTGAAAGCCTGGCAAGATCAAAGTATAGAGTAGTTGGGTTAGTACCATAATGGTGGCTAAAACCTAGTTTCCTCTATACTGACATTATGAAAAACTGTAGGAATTTTTCATTCAAATAATTACAATACTACTTTAACTAACTGATACATAGAAAGAATAATTGAAACAATCTTTTGGCATTGATCAGATGCAAAATCCTTAGTATTTTACAAATATGAACTCCCTAAACTCTGTTTTAAGTTGGTTTAAAATATCTAGTTTTGAATCACTTAACCAAAATCAGTTCTTGAGGTTCACCAGCAATTTGGTATCTATTTATGGAGATGAGGCTAAATCTATCTAAATGTTTTTTATCAATATATCTATGTTAATGTTAGAATGTCACATGTGTTGCTACACCTCTCATGAGTAATGATAAGTGTGTTACGATTGTAAACTATGATGCATGTATTGTAACATAATATTTGATAATCATTTTAGCATGACACATCGTATTCATTGTGAAAGGAAAGTATATATTATTTACCTGGTTAATACGGAAAGTGTGTATTGTAATCTGTATATTTGGGAAGGGTCGATACAATATCTTGTATTTATAGTAAGTCTGGGTATAGTGTTGGAATATGTAGGTATAGTATACATTCATAAATCTAGTGACATTGATAGTAACTGTCAATTGAACAAATTACCTCTATCTATGCCTAGTTTAGATAAAATCTAAATGCTCAAAGCGGTGCTCACATGTTTATATCAACAGAAAAGAAGAAAACTAACACTATTCCTAGAAGCTTAGCTTCATTTTATTATCTCATAATCACTCTCGTAATTTTCATGCTCTCCCTTTCTACGCACACATGTACACCCAAACATTTAACAATCCTTAATGAGTTTCAAACAATGTCTTAAATCCCATAGTAGGGTTTTGGATTGGCCCGTCAGTTAATCAATCTAGATCAGCCAAATCAAGGAACGCAATTTAAAAAAAAAGAAGAAAAAAGGATAGAAATAAGTGATAGAGCCTGATCTCCCAGCCATTGAACTTGCTATGCATTAGACGATTCTAATCCAGGTAACCGTTTTTTAATACCTTGGTTTTTAACATTCACATGCATTGTGTACTTATCCATCTATTTATCAATGTTGTTTTCCATGCTATTAGGAGATTCTCATGTATTGAAATGGGAGCAAAGGATTCGAATTGCCACAGGAAGTGCTCGAGCTTTATGGTTCCTTCACAATTACCCTTCAGGGAGGCTAGTCCACAGAGACATCAAGGTTCAGTGACCCTTATGGTTCCTTCAAACGTCTCTCTCTCACACACACACTACTTTTTTAAGATGCAATCGATGCATATCATCTAGTGAACTAGTAGTTATCAGTTCTGGAGCAAGAAATAATATCTGTATTTTCATCAATTGCAAACAGCCCACGAATATTTTGTTGGACGATAAATTAAACCCGAAGCTTTCGGACTTTGGTCTATCGAAGTTCTTGGATGTGGATGAGAGCTATATGTTCACAGAGGTGAAAGGAACAACCGGGTACTTGGATCCTGAATATGTGACATTGGGGCGAGTTAGTCTTGCAAGTGATGTTTATAGCCTTGGCATTGTTCTTCTGCAACTGCTGTCTGGGAAGAAGGTGATAGACTTTAGCACCCCCAAGCCAAGATCATTGGTATCTGAGGTTCGTATTATGAAGAACAATGATTTTGATTTATTGATTGTGAAAAATAAACCTACATATCAATATCGATAACTATGTTCACATATATGCTACTATAAACTCTATGTTGTGGTGAGAATAATGAGAATTAACATTCCAATACTGCTTAGCTTTTCATGATAACAAAGAAAAAGACGAACGAAAGGTACTATTAGTCATTACAGAATTTAATTGTTTATTTTCTTCTCACAAAGAAATGAAAAATAAGTTAAAACACTACAATTTATTTATGGGAAAATTTTATATAAGGTTGCAACTTGAACTATAGAATTAAGGTAATTAAGGTGCACCTTAAAAATCAATCTGGAAAGGGCTGCTTTGATGTTGAAAAACTTTCTAATTGATCATCTGACATTAAGATGGATGAATATGAAAAAAAAAAAGAAAAAGATTTAGAATCTTAAAAATAGTGCATCTTGCAACATATTATCTGGACCGTCCATTTTTTAGATTTTTATGTGTTTATATATCTAATTGATTTGAATTATTTTTAGAGCTTAAAAGTTTATAATTAGAGACGAAAAAATGATTCTCAAGCATCCTAAGAATTTTTTGCCCCAAAATTACATCTTAAGATAAAATTTGGGGGTAAGCCTTACTTTGATCATTTAAAGTTGGACGTTTAAAGTTGCAACCCTTTATTTATTTATTTAAAGTTGCAACTTTATATAAACCACCCCCTTTTTTTATTTATTCCACGTGGTCATGTCCATTGCTTCAAAATTTAGAAGACATTTTAATCTTCTTTAAAAATATTAGCAATGTCGAAAGTCTATGACAGTGTAGGAAAATATTAGCAATGTCGAAAGTCTATGACAGTGTAGGGAGCCAGTGTATTGAAAATATGGAAATAAAGTGATGGAAGCATTTTAGAAGAAAGATATGGAAAAGTATATAAGACACCATTTAGTTTTGGCATAAGGAGGTTATAATTACTCTTGTCCATAGAATTTCAATTGGGTGGTTGTGTGTGTCACTAAATCGGTTCAAAGTTTTTTTAAAAAATGATCGAACTCTACAACACACTCCAATATGTCCAATTTGAAATCAGATGGTTGGGGATATTTGTGACTTTCTTGTAACAAAGATAAATGGTCTAGTAGTATACAATTCTAAAAGATATATACCATCTTTTAAAATTAGGGGTGTCTTCATTATTTCTTGAGCAGTAGTACTCCCATATGATTGTGAATTTCTTCCCTCGGGAAAAAGAGCTACTTAGGAGAATTTTCAAGATTTGAAACTTTCGTAACCATTTTAGTATGAGGCAAGCTTTCTATGCTTCCCCTACTATATAAAACTTATATACTTCCCCTATCCAACCATCTATTCTGAATGGACTTCTACGATGACCCCAATCACAATATCATGTCCGTACACTATTTTATTTTTAGGTTTTTTCTACAAACTATTTTGACACCAAATTTTGGACATCCACTCCTCTCTTAAACTTGCACTCGTAAAAAATATAAAAAAAATATTCTCAATAAAATAAAATAACCAAAATACCCCTAAAAGGTTTAAGAGGTAATTTCGTCATTATATTTTATTGAAAAAATATTTTTAATATTTTTTCGATGCATCCCATTGAGAAGATAGCACATACCAAATTTCTCAATAAAATTTTGTAGAAACAAAACTAAAAATAAACTGCTCTGACGTGTCAGATCTAGATCAAATGATTAGTGGCTCACTTGATCTAAATTAGATGGCAGGATGGGGGAAAGTATATGTCTTCTATGATGTAGGGGAAGTATAGAAACCTTTCCCTTTAGTATGACTGTATGGGTATTTTAAAAAATAAAATTCGTATTTTAAGAACCTAACCACTTGGATCTCTTTATCAAAAAATTGGACAGTTTCTATTCAATGTTTTGATTTCGTTTTTTCATGTTCATACATGGTGCTTTCTTTTTCTTGCTGAGGTTAGTCGCTAGGTTGAAGGGGATAAACCCCCACTTTGTTTTTTAGAATAACAAGAAAAAAAAGAAAAAAGAAAAAAGAAAGTGGAATAAACTGTTTAGATAGAGGACAAGAGGGACCATTGTATGTTTGTGTGTAGATATCATTGTTTAGATGTGGATTTAGGGTCTCGAAACATGGAGCCTATTTATATGGTTACAAAGAGGAAATAACAAAATAAGGCAAATCAAGTATTGGTTCATTTGTTTTTTGCAATAATTTATGAGACAGGATTAATCCAAGAAGTTATGTCCGCTTATTGCATTAGTTTATTGTTTATTTTATGTTCAGGCCAGGAATGTGGTGATTAAAGGTGGTGATATTTCAACTTTAGTGGATCCAAGATTGAAAGGAGAGTATGATAAACAAGCATTTGAGAGGGTTCTTTCAGTGGCCATCCTTTGCACAGCGTCCTCTGAACGTGAGAGGCCATGCATGCAAGAGGTTTTACATGAACTTGAAGATGCTTCACTCTTTCCTTGTTGAAAGGATTACTCTCTCTCTCTCTCCAACAACAGTTTTCCCTTGTCAAAAGGGTTAATCTCTCTCTCTCTCTCTCTCTCTCTCTCTCTTAAGTGTGTGTTTGTTAATACTTAGTAGGATAATTAAGGATTAATCTCTCTCTCTCTCTCTCTCTCGAATGGAAGATGTAAAGGGTACTCAATTCGTATTATCTCATAAGTTTCAGAAGATAAGCATTGTTCATCGTCAATTTCCAGAATCTTGATTGTAGTTGTTAGTACTAATTTTTGTAGTAATTAGTACTAATTCTCATAGACAAATGACCAAACGCCCCTTTTTTACTTTATCCTCTTAGCTTTATGTTGGTTGGGCATGGGACAATGACTAAATCCAAAAATTGTGCCGCCTCCTCATGGGCCTCTTGCTTCCCATGCTTTCCCTAGTTTTTGGCAATATTCCTTTTTACGTATATTTTAATTTAGCTAACTTGTGGATCGAAAATCCTACCTCCTTTACTTTTACTCTAACCCAATTTTCTTCCTCTTTAACATATATATATATTAAAATTTTTTAATTTTTAAAAAACTTTTGGAGATCATATACTTCAATTTATAAGAAGTAAATGTTGTACGAAGAAGAATTTTAGACAAATTAAGATTGTGATTGTATACTATAAGACCATCTATCAAAGTATGATCTTTGAGTTTGATCAATCACACACTTTCAGCCTTCCGATTTCAAATCTAACAACCATAAATGGTTGTGACCTCCTTATATAAAAAATAAACGATCTTAATATATATATTTCCATTAAAATTAACACTGAAAATTATCCTCATGAAACAATGAGGAGTGATAATCCATAATCGCAAAGTCTTAACCCTTTTGGATTGTACTTTCTCATGAAGTTCAACCCTAATAGTGCTACATATGCATGGAGAATCCCATGGATTTCAATTGAGAAAAATGATAAAATGGTGGTAGGTTTAGAATAGTAATTATTGAAGTAGGGCCGACTCCCTACCTAAATCATTCATCGTCAAGGAAAACCAGAGATGTGGAGAGAAAGGTGGGTAAAGACAATAGGTGAGGGTGTAAAGGGATACAAAAATAAGGGAGAATGGTCAAAGTGACTTTAGAGAAAGCAAGCATTTTGACCTTAATATTCAAATAAAGAAGGATAGGAAAACTGAGACAGTTTGAACCTAGTATAGTGTTTTGTAAGCCTTAGGCCTTGCACCATGGGTTTTTGAGACCTAGTCTAGTGTTTTGTAAGCCTTAGGCTTTGCACCATGGGTTTTCTTTTTTTTTTTTTAAGAAGAAAAAGGTCTGTGGTGAAGTACAAGGACTACAAAAAGTCTAATGTCTAATCAATCCCATAATTGATCCAAGCAGTCGTGTTACAATGTAAAAACGAGAAAAAAGAAAAGAAAAACAGTAAAATCGAGAGAGATATATTACTCTTTCCACGTTTTTATCAGTGCGATATCGGACTGTCGTTGGACCGAAGTAAATATTGGGAATTGGGTTTGGTCAAAAATGGAGTAAAACTAATGTCTCATCACTTTTGACAGATAAAATTAGTCGGTTTTGACCACTAACTACTTTTTAATATGTTTTATATTTGGGTGCAGTTTGTCTAGATCCGAGATTTTAAACAATCAAATTAGAGCCCCACCTTCAAATAGTGTAGAGAAATATGGTTTCAATACTGAAATTTTTTGTAATAGCCTTAAAATATACTTTCATTTTTAATTATAAAATTTAAAGCTTAAAAAATAGTGCAGATCAAGCATATCTATGAAAAATTGAAAATCTTGAAAATTGACAGTCAAAATATGTGTTACAAGACGCACTATTCCCAAATTTGAAATCCAATTTGTTTCTCATGTCCATGCATCTCGATGTCGAGATGATCAATTTGATAATGTTTGAGCATCAAAACAAGTTCTTCTAGTGAAATTGTTGAGGTAGACTTTAATTTGATTGTTTAGAGTCTAGGCTCTATATAAACATTTCCCTTTATATTTATACTATTTTTTTTATTTTTTTAAAATCTAGTCTTATCAATTCGATCAATAATCAAACTGATTTTGACTGGACTAGAACCGTTTCATTCAAATGTATCGATAACATTGTTTTTAGTAGTTCATTCTTCTTCATATTCAATTCAAGCTTCCCAACTAGAAGAAGCAAAATTTTGAAGTTTGCCATTTAATACATATTCATATGGTTGGGTGAAACCATAAATTTTCTAATTAGTAAACTCCAAATTTAATTCCTATTAAACCCACCGTTTTTTCTTAAAACCAGCCATCCCCATGAAAAGTTAAAGAATGTCCAAGCTTGAAGACAATTTCATATTTGTTGGGGAAGCCCATACTTATCTCACTTTTTTTTTTTCTCTCTCTTTCATAGACATACTTTCTAGTCCAAAAATTATTAATTAGGGCCAAATCCATTGTTTATTTCTCATTTCTATTAAATGAAATCCCACTTTATTTCAGCCAAAATCTTCGAAAAGTACATCACATAATTCTTTGATCTGGTTAGGTCCCAATTCATGTCCTGACATGTGGTAGTTTAAGCACTCAACAAAATTGCAAAGGACAGTGCATTAGTATTAAATTGAAAATGAGAAGTAAAAACAAAAAGAGATATAACTTTTTCTTCTCTCATTCTCTATTTTAATAGCCGGTAGTTGACGATGCCATGCAAATGAAGTACAAAACCTAGAACTTTCTTTCATCTTAAATTTCTCCTCTTTCTCTCTCTAATCTCTCTCTCATCGTCTTTCCTTAAAAATTTCGCATCAAAACATTTCTCTTTACTAAAAAATATAAAAAAAAGTTTGTATAAAGTTGCAACCTTAAATGTAGGATTACTGATGCACTGCAAAAATTCATGAATATGAAAAAAAATGATTACGAGTCTCAAAAATAGCCATCTTAAATTTCTCCTCTTACTCTAATATTTGAATTGTGCATGACACGCTCTCTCTAAAACATTTATCTCTATACTAAAAGTCTTGCATTTCGTTGCCGTTTCTTTCGCATGATTAATATTTCTCTCTGTAATCAAACTTTGAATTTAGATGTATGTTTTCTCTCTCTAGAATTGATTGTGGGTTTCTCTCTCCTCTCGGAGTATGTGTGTGTAACATTTGTAACGATGAAAACATGGAGTGACATTAATACCCGCAGAACTGGTTAAATGGATCAACTCCAACACAATCCCAAACACAAATAGAAATTTAGAGAGAGAAAGTAGTAAGAAAACGTGATCTCATTGATGAAAGAGAGAGAATGCTAGAGAGAGAAGCGAGGGAAATATGATCACAGTCAGAGAGAGAAAGTAAGAGAGATGTTAATGGGAAATAAGGAAGCTGCTCGATCCCTTTTGATTAATACTGGAAACCCCACAGATCTACGGCGAAATTTACGAGTCAGCCACTGCGTAAAAGCCTGGACCTAAAGCAAAAGCTCTGCAATCTCTTTCTCTCTCTTCACCTGTTGTTTCTCTTTCTTCCTCTCTCTAAATGGCTTCCTCCGATAAAAAGCAAACGCCGACCTTTGATCATGCCTTGAAATGACCGCAAGGAGATCCCTGCATCTTCTGACGACTCCACATTCTCCACACATGCAATTGATTTTTCTCGCACTATCCTCTCTCCTTTCTCTTTCTTATTTTGATCACATCTTCTGCTTTTCTGGGTGGAAGGAAATGGAGTTTTGGTTTCAATTTGTTTCCTGCTTCAAATGCGCCTCGGCTTCTGAGCTTTGAGCTCTTTCAATGATGGTTTATGGTTGAAAACTAGGGTTTGGATCTCTCAATTTGAATATGGCCCTGTTTCGAAAGTTTTTTTACAGAAAGCCACCTGATGGGCTCCTTGAGATCTCTGAGAGAGTCTATGGTATGTATTGGATCTGAAATATCAGTAGAATTTGATCATTGTTGGGTTTATGTGTAAATGGCTTTGTGTTTGATATAATTTCAAGAGTTTTTTTTTGGTTTTTAAAGTATTTGTGTTTCTCTGTGCTTTGGTGTAATATGTTGCATTTAAAAATTTCCGTTTTTGAAATTCAAGGATCTGTGCTTGAATTTTGCCATACGTTTTCTTTGATTTGGTCTAGGGTCCTCTGAGATATTAAGCTTTTGTTTTACTCCAAATTTGTGGTTTACATGTCATGTAATTTAGCAAAACTCATGCCTAATGCTGTGAGTTTCACATGTCATGTAATTTAGCAAAACTCATGCCTAATGCTGTGAGTTTCACAAAATTCAAGCACTTAATTATTCCTTTCTTGGTGAAATTTGCAGGCACCGATAACGTACTTGTTACTTGTATTTTCATTTAATGCTCCATTTTTTTTGATAAGCAATGAGCTATTGCCATTGTTGTCCTCAGTCTATATAAAGGGGTTCAACCCTTCATTGTCATTGTTATCCTCAGTATATGTACAGTGGGGACTTCTGTTGATAAAAAAAAGCATATGTAATGAAGCACACATCTATGGATTTCTTACCCTTCGTTTTTTTTTTTTTCAACTTTTTCAAATGTGGTTATGATTATTAATTAACAAAATTTTTATCTTAGTTCATTAAAAAATTGTGCTTCATGATTCTCCTAAGTATGTTAGCAATTGCAATGGATTATGTATCTCTAGTTTGTGTTTTTTGCATGAAATAGTCTATAATCATGGTTCATTTCTGTTAATATTGTGAAACCTTGAGCTTTATTTGGTTTCTTGTGCGAATGTGTCTGTGTGTCATTTTTATTTCTTTCATCTTTTTCATTTTAAATTAAAGCAACTCAAGTGTTTTTTTTTTTTTTTGAGACAAACTTACCTTTTTTTATTTTTTATTATTGTAGATGACTATATTGTGGATAATTCTGAGAATGTTATGTATATATATTTGGTTTGATCTTGCTCTACTTTCCATCGAAAGAAATTGTTCGGCAAAGTATTCTTTAATAAATGGTAAAGAGGTTGAGCATTTTTTTGCACTTGTTTGGTGGCTTAGAAGCTAGATTTCTCTCTCCACTTGCCACTTCTTCCTGTAAATATGGTGATTTCCTTTGATTTGCTGGAACTCCTACTAAAATAGGAACTCCTAGTAAAATATTTGGTGCCTTTATGCTTCACAGATGTGCCTCCTTTTTCCCATTGCTCTTATTTCTTCTTCTCCTTTTTATAATGCTCACTATTCTTTTTTTGGTCAATTGGAAAAGAAAAAGGAATTCTTATTTTGTTTTTTGGGCATGCAGTGTTTGATTGCTGCTTTTCCACTGATGTTTTGGAAGAAAATGAGTACAAAGTCTACATGGGGGGAATCGTCAGACAGTTGCAGGACTATTGCCCCGACGCCTCTTTCATGGTCTTTAACTTTAGAGAGGGAGAGAGGAGAAGCCAGCTCTCCGACATTCTCTCTGAGTATGACATGACGGTAATGGACTACCCTAAACACTATGAGGGGTGCCCCATGCTCCCACTGGAGATGATCCATCATTTCTTGAGGTCGAGTGAGAGTTGGCTCTCTCTAGAAGGCCAACACAATGTGCTTCTTATGCATTGCGAGAGAGGGGGATGGCCAGTTCTGGCATTTATGCTTGCAGGTCTCCTTATTTACCGGAAACAATACACTGGGGAGCAAAAGACATTGGACATGATATACAAGCAAGCACCCAAGGAACTCTTACAACTATTGTCTCCATTAAGTCCAATGCCTTCTCAGTTGAGATATCTCCAATATGTTTCAAGAAGGAATGTGGGTTCAGAATGGCCTCCTTTGGATAGGGCCTTAACTTTGGATTGTGTCATCTTGAGGATTCTTCCAAATTTTGCTGGAGAAGGGGGGTGCAGGCCAATATTTCGGATTTATGGACAAGACCCATTTAACAATTCTGATCGAACTTCGAAGGTGCTGTTCTCCACGCCAAAGAAGAGCAAGAATGTTCGGCTTTACAGACAGGTGATGTAGATTTACTTTTCATTTTTATATCAAAGCTCCCATATTTGCTTTGGTGAATGTTTAGGACCTTTAGGTTTCCTAGGAAACACAATATGCTTTGGTGGTTTATCCAATTCGATGAAATTGCTTTGGGTTCTTTAAATAATTAAAAAAGTTGAAAGACATGAAAAACTCTGTCCTTGTATCATTCTTTCAGCTAATTTGGCTCATTGGGAACTGATATATGCTGATGAATTTTTTCTATGTTTTGGCTGGCAGTGGAAGTTGTTTAAGCCTATCTCAATGAAATTAAACACGTTTGATCACATTGTTTGGTATATTCTTGGGGTTTATGGTCTTGATTTAAATGGCAATGGTTTCTGTTTTTCCAAGAAAAAGTGGGGCTTGGAAATTTGTTTGTCATAGTGTCTTCCCATTTTTTGGGTCATTGAATTTCCTTTCATCCTCTATATTTGTTTTCTTGTGGTAATTGCGAGAATATAAAGTTTATGCAAATGCTTTGTCTTGCTGCTGCACGCACACACGTAGATTTATAGTCTATATTAGAAAACTTCACAACTTCCTTCTGATTCTTAGGCTTTGGTTGCAGGCAGACTGTGAATTAGTGAAAATAGACATTCATTGCCACATTCAAGGTGATGTTGTACTAGAGTGTATACATTTGGAAGAAGATCTCGAGCGTGAAGAGATGATGTTCCGAGTCATGTTCAACACTGCATTTATTAGGTCGAACATTTTGATGCTCAACCGTGAGGAGATTGACATATTATGGAATGCCAGGGATCGTTTTCCTAAGGACTTTAGGGCAGAGGTAGGTACCTGCCTCATGCTTGTTGGCTTCTAAATTTGTTGTGGCCTAGAAATTACCTAGTTTGTGTAACCTTTTTCGTATCAAGACAATGGACATAAAACCGTTAAGTTCTTTAATCTGATGTGGTGTTATTGCACAGGTTCTTCTCTCTGATACAGATGCTGCTGCTTCTGATATTACCACAGAGGCAGAGGTTGTGGAGGAAAAGGAAGGCCTTCCAATGGAAGCATTTGCTAAGGTGCAAGAAATCTTTAGCAATGCAGAATGGCTTGATGGAAAGGGTAATGTTGCCATTAACATTCTTCAGCAAATGACATCCTCAGATGCTCTCCAACAGAAGTTGAAAACTGGTGCTCTACAACCGAACCTGGAGAGTGCTGCTTCAAAGCAACACATAGGTTCCAAGGTTCTTCAAGAGAAACCAAAATCTGATGCGATGGAAGTCAAAACTGAGAGACCACCATCCTCAGTTTTGCAGAAACAGTCTGTTTCCCCAAATAATTCATTCTTGGCATCTGGTTTAACCAAACAACATAAGGTTCAACCACAGGAATTGAAGTCGGCACTTGCATGCTCCCCTCAACCAAAGACCATATCCAGACGTATGCCCCAATCTTCTCTCTCGAGCCCGGGGTCTCATAGTAATTCTCTTCCCAGTTCACCTCAACCCACTTCAAGATATCACAGCGCCCCTGCAGTTCTTGGCATTACAGCTCTTCTCCATGATCATGCTGCAAATAGAACCTCAGAAGATCCTGGGATATCTGCTGTTCCCTCTGTATTAGGTGGTAATTTGAATGTAAAGGGTGTAAATGCCTCACCACTAGATTCAAGAACCACTGCCCCGTTAACATCATGTGCTTCTTCCCCTTCAATTTCAACTTCCATTGCTTCATCTTTAACTGAAACCGCCAAGCCTGCAAGTCTTCCATCCTCCTCTCCTCCCCTTGCATCTCCACCGCCACCATCAACGGGAACTGAATCAAAAACTTTTCTAGGTCGTCGTCGTCCTCCTCCACCACCACCACCACCACCTCCACCACCACTACCTCCCTCGTCGGCTTCACCCCAACAATTTGCATCTTCAAAACCGGCACCACCGCCCCCTCCTCCTCCTCCTTTCCGTCAAGGAATTGCATCACCTGAGAGCCATTTTTCGTCAAACGTTCCATCCGCCCCACCTCCTCCACTTTCTAACTTTGGATCTTCATCCACCAAAGCATCAGTTTCTACACCGCCACCACCTCCTCCACCACCTATGAGAGTGGGTACAGCCTCATCAGCCCCATCTCATCCCCCTCCACCTCCTATGAAGTCATCTATGGTAGTTGCTCCTCCTCCTCCTCCTCCACCTCCTTGTCGGCATGGTGCATCTCCACCAGCAGCACCTCCTCCTCACTCAACACCCAATGCATCAAGGCCCGCTTCTCACAACCCTCCATTGACACCTCCTCCTCCTCCTCCTCCTCCTCCTGGGGGGCGGACTCCTATATCTCAAATGTCCCTGAGAGAAATTGGTGTTGGTTCTTCTCAATCTCTTTCTGTCGGTGCTAAAGGCACAGTGGGTGCTTATTCGTCACATGGTGATGGAACCAGTTCATCAGCCCCTGCACTTGGTGTTAGAAAGGGATTTGCTCGTGGTTTAGGGAATGCTCAATCGACAAAGAGGACCTCACTAAAGCCTCTACATTGGGTGAAAGTAACGAGAGCAATGCAAGGAAGCTTGTGGGCAGAGGCACAAAAATTTGATGACGGTACCAAGTATGAGAAGTACCTAGCTCAAAATAATTATCTCATACTGTCGTGTTTAAGTTATGTGCGATCAAATATATTATTATTTGCATAAATCTTTCATAAATATGCTCTGCTTGTCTCATTTTTTGTTTTTCTTTTCTTATTATAATAATTATTTTTTTAAATTTACATGCTAGAGCTCCTGAGTTCGATATGTCGGAACTTGAGAGCCTTTTCTCAGCCGCTGTGCCGAATTCTGATCGTGGTGGTTCCGGTGAAAAGTCAAGTCGACGTGCCTCTCTTGGACCCAAATCTGATAGAGTTCATCTGGTATATTTCTAGAAACTCTGAAGATTGTGCAGTATCAAAACATTTCTATTGTTATTCTATATATTGAACCACATTCTATTTTCAACTCAAAGTATAGTATGACACTTGTAATTTTCATGAAGTTAACTCTTTATACAGATTTTTTTTGCTATCTTAATAAATTTTATGAAGGTGGATAACTAAATTATATGCATATGCACATACGTATCGCAGTGAAAATTACAGATTGATATATATGTATGTATATAAGATTTCTCGTACTGTATTCTTGTAATAGATGTTTTGCTTTATGTCATTTTTCTTCGTGCGATTAGCAGTGCAATTTTTTTTGGTCCCTGGAGAAATAAAGCACCACGTACATACTCCAAAGCTTTTATGATCTTTTATTTGTCTTTGCAGATCGATCTACGCCGGGCGAATAATTGTGAAATTATGCTGACAAAAGTCAAAATGCCTTTGCCCGACCTGATGGTATACTTTTAGACCTATTGGTTTCTTGTGTCTTGCATCATCTAGGAAATCCATTTTGTTATTTAAATATAACCTTGCAATGCATTTGTTTGATTTGGTGTTCTGAGTAGCTAGAGAAAATGTTAGCAACAACTTGATAATCAGAGTAGACAAATCTGTTTTATTTGAATTATCCTCATCACTGGTAGTGATTTATGCCAAGTTTGTGTAAACTTAGTTGTTTCGAATAGTGAAATTACACATGTACACATACTCATACAACATCAAGACTTGATGGGAATCTTAAATATTGCATGGCTAGAGATATTGGTAAATTCTCTCTTATAAATACTTAACTGGAGCTAATGGTTTTCTTTTTGTCTGTTCTAATGTATACCCAAGGGCATATTATCCTGTTTGCATTTATTTTCCAGACATGCATCTAAGTAGGGAGAGAGGGGAAGGCTTGTTGAAACTCAATCTGGATCCTCTCGGTGTATACATAATTCTATCCTGTTGCTCACGATTCCAATTTTTACTTTGTATTGAGGACTAATTAAGGATATCTGTATTGTTTATCATCACTGAATGTCTGTAGAGGGAGTATGGTACAACAATGAAACCAATTCCAATTATAGACTCTCAAGCCTTGAAGACGAGTTCTGGACTATCCCTAAAGCCATACTCTTGGTTCAAGAAAATTCTGGATTATACAAAAAATAAACTCTTGTTGTGGGGTGTCAGTTTAGTATGTTGTCATATCATGATAGTTTATTTAGCTTTGGCATGCAAAAGTTTTAGCATCATATAAGTTCCTTCTTGTTTGCTTGATTGCAAAAAGAGCTAGATGAGTCTATCATTTGGTTTCCTATTCATGGTTAATATTTTTGTACATGGGTCAGCCATCTTCCTTCCATCTTGGACTTAGTGAGAGAGAGAGTCCAATTCATGAGGTTATTGAGTGATTCAATATTGAGGTTGTATACCTCAAGAAAATTGGTCATTGACTGGTTTACCAGTTTATTTTTTTAGTTACACTGGTCTTTTATTCTTCTGATGAGTGCTGCCCTTGAAAAAATCAGAATTAGTGTTGTAATTTCTGAATCTCTGATGCTCTGCCTGAGATGTATTCTAATTTATTTCGCAAGTCTTCTCTTTATTTTCAATTCCTTCTAAAATTCTGCAAAACATTTAGTTTTCCTCTATGATATTTGCAGAATGCCGATAATTTCACGACATGTTGCTTCTAATGCTTACTCTGATTTTCTTCTACAGAGCGCTCTGCTTGCCTTGGATGATTCGGTTTTAGATGTTGATCAGCTTGATAACCTAATAAAATTTTGCCCTACTAAAGAGGAAATGGAATTACTCAAGGTGGACATTCTTTTCTCAGTTTTGTTTATTGTAACAATCCCGGATGATATGTTAGAGGAATTTTTTTACTGTTTTCTTGGGAATTACTGGCATGTTTTTCATTATCACTGGTGAAACAATGCTAATGGTTTGATCCTACTGTCCATGTTTTAGGGCTACAATGGTGATAAAGAAAGCTTAGGAAAATGTGAGCAGGTTCGACTTAGTTCTCTTTTCCTGTTTTCATCTTGTTTTAAGTTGGGACATTGAACATGTAATATGGAGTGGGAGAGAGGCAGTAGATTCTGTCCTGGAATCTCATCTCTACCTGCATTTTTAGGAATCGGGATCCGAAAAGGTTGGGAGCGACCCCAACCTTTTGAAGATCACACTGTTCAATTTTTATTGAAATTAAAAGGTGTGGTATTGAAATGGTTATATATTTTTAGATTATACCAGTGTTTTCAGACTTGCCTTGGCCCCGGTACTCGGCCCTAACCCGAGGCAAGTTACTAGGGCAAGCCCGAGGGGAATCGCCTGAGTATTGTACAGGGCCCAAAAGCCCTTGAAAAATGAAAAGAAAATAAAAAATATTTAAAAATAAAATAAAATAGTAAAGATCAAACAAAACAAAAACAACATAAAAAGTCCAAATAAGCTTAAAAAGTATATAAAACATGGATTTAAAAGAATTAGTTTATAGTTGGCGACATTTAAAAAATCCAAATAAAGTGAAAAATATTAAAATAGGGCATATGGCAAGAAAAACTCACCTATCTTTGCCAAAAAATACAAATTACATATAAAACTTCTATACATCAATTCAATACCTTTATATATATATATATTTACAAAGTTTTTCTATTTTTCTTATATACCCTGAGTTATATAGGGGTACCTAGAGTAAATTAGCTCGACAAGTGAAGATGAGCAACTCGGCCGAGTCGGACAACACTGGATAATACTGTTTATATCTAGTTATTAGTGAAAATTATAAAACTAAGTGTAATCTTAATTTCTTGTGTGATCCCAAAAGGTTGGGATGGAGACTCCCAAAAGCTTGTGATTGAGCACCATAAAGGTTGGATCGAGATCCAAACTAATGCATTGTACAGATAGTGCTTCCTAGCATGAGGATTTTCTGGCCATTCGCGTTCCCCTTCTTTCGATCCCTAAACTGCTCCTATCCTGCTATTGATGTCAACAACTATGGAACAAAGTGACCATTTTAGCCATGATTGTTTTGTAGATATTTGAACATTAGTATTGAGTCTTTCCAAAGGCTTTCCTTCATCCTCCATTTACCTCTGTTGCAAACTGTTATTGCACACTGTTATTTCTTTTTATAACCCTTGAATATAAAATGCCATTTTTCTCAATATCTTCCTATACTGTAAATCTGGATTCAGTTATCGATCATATATATATATATATATATATATAGAGGGAGGGAGGGAGAGAGAGAGAGAGATTATCCTCTGAACTCTCACCCAAAATAAGGGTTTCCATCTTCCAAAATATCTAATATGTTTTATTTAAAATTTTTTGAAAAATAATTTGCAATGGAGAAGAAGTAGAACTGAATAAAAAATAAAACTTACTATAAAATTTAGGAAGGGCTTTTGTATGCTAATTATGCCTACCAAAATAGGAATGATAAAATTAGGAATTTCACAACTTCAGAAGAAAAGAAGAAGATAAAATTAGGAATTTCTATAATAGTTTTTATCCTATTCAAAACAAGAAAAATTTTAAAAATAGAAAAGGTAAGATAGAAAGTTACACAGCCATAAACTAATATTTACTGAATTAGTAATGAAATATACATAGAAAATATTTTTTTTATTGAGTACTTTAAAATTTATTTTTCATCTAATATCTCAGCAGGAGCATCATGCACTGCACTCCCATTAGCTAGTACCTTTTATTTGGCATTTGACAAGAAAGATATATTCATATGACATGCTGTGCACTCTCCATTTTTGCAGTTTTTCTTGGAGTTGATGAAGATACCCCGAGTAGAATCAAAGCTTCGAGTCTTTTCCTTTAAGATCCAGTTCAGTTCCCAGGTTGGAAGTTTGATTCTCTCTTCATTCTATATTATTTCCATTAACTTTTGTTTTCCAGAAACCTATGGTTTCCAGGCTAAAGAAATTTTATGGCTACTTTTCTCCGCTTATGTTGGCAGGTTTCAGACCTCAGGAATAATTTGAATATTGTGAATTCTGCAGCTGAAGAGGTGCCAACTTTTCTTGCTGATTTCTCTGTTTTGGAGTGATATAATGTTTATCTATGGTGTGCATCTTGTATGTTTCACTATTCATTGAATTTTTGGGTTATCAGATCAGGAATTCTGTCAAACTGAAGCGAATAATGCAAACAATCCTTCAACTTGGAAATGCTTTGAATCAGGGAACTGCAAGGGGTGAGTTGAAGATCATGGATCTGATGCTTGAAGTGATAGTGGAAGTTCTTGAATTTATATTCAAAATGGATTTGCATGCTTCAACCCTTCTTCCTTATTTCCATTAGTTAGTATCTAAGTGTTTTCGGTAAAGACCCATATTCATGAGCGAAAATATTAATTCTTTAAACTCTGTTCGCGATCTCAATAAAATGAACATAGAAATGATCGATAAAGCCATGGTTTTGGTTTTATGGATTCATTGGTGGAAGTAAGACTGGTCTAACAAGGGTGAGGACCTTCAACCTCTTAACCTGTCCCAAGCCCGGGTAAAGGAAGTGGTTGCATTATTTTGGCAGCGAGCATAAAACTTTGCCACATCTTGTCATGAATCCTGGAAGCCAACCCCGAATAATTAAAATAAGACTTGGATGATGATGATGATTGGTGGAAAAAGACACTTTCACAATAGTCAATGATTGCATTTACTCCTTGTAAGGCTTCTCTGCTTTCACATTACTGTACTAGTGGGCTACTTCAGAGATGCTGCATCTTTTGAAGAGCATGGAACTTATATAGCCATCAGGTTTTGTCATTTCTTTAGGGCTCTACAGACGTGTTGATTTGATGCGTCATCTCTGTTTTACCAAAAACTAGACTCAAGATGTGACTAAACACTGCATGCACAAATGCATGGATGCCTTATAAGGCCCATTTGGACGGAACAAGTTCTGGGGACAGGGCTGATTTCTTCTCTACCCAATTTTTATTGTAAAATTCCTGCATGGTCCTCTCTTACTTTTGTTAGTTGTCAGATTTTCTTGACCCTGTTTATTATGAAAACGCTTCCAAAATGGCAGCAGCTCTAAAAAAAACTATAAAAAGAAAAAACCAATAAAAACTGTTTTTCACTTGTTTGAAGAAACTCGCTTCCCTGTTGGAGTTGTTTTGCTATCCAAAAGGGGTGGAGCCAAATGTGGTTTACTTTATCACGCTTTAGGCTGAACAATGTGGACCTCTTCATATGCATTTATTTATAGCATGAGAATTACAGATGGCTTTTGAAGGCCGTAAACCAATGTTATCAAATTCGCTTCGCTTTGGCCGAAGAGGCTGAAGCCTTTGGTTTTTAAGCCTAAACCGAAGTGAAGAGCAGCATGGTGCTGCCGCTTCGGTCAGATTCGGGCTGCTTAGGCCAGATTCGGGTCTCTTCGGGTGTGCTTCGGCCGAAGCTTCGGGCTGCTTCAGCCAGAAAAGAAATACCTATATAAAAATATTTTTTAAAATTTTTTAATTGTTTATTTTAAAATTTTCTATTATTTTTATATATTTTATATATAAATATCTAATTTATTTATATTGAATTAAAAAAAAGTCCGAAGTCTTCCCCTGAATTGGCTGAAGCACCGAATTGCTTCATTTTTCTTACCAAACGGAAGAGGACTCCGAAGCGAATCTGAGAACATTGCCTTAAAACTATGATATCTCAAGAAATTATGGTTTTTGTTATTGTTTATTTTCATTTTTCACTTCTGTTTTGCAGTATGGTCCTATTTTATTTGCTTTTTCTCTGATTAATGTAATTTATTACTTTTACTGTGTCTAAGTCTGAATAGAATTTCACAATATGTAGGTTCTGCTATTGGATTCAGGTTGGATAGCCTTCTAAAACTAACAGATACCAGAGCACGCAACAACAAAATGACTCTCATGAATTATCTTTGCAAGGTGAGAATCTCTTTAATTAATGCATTTTATTTTCTACATAAAAAACGAAGTATTGTAATTCCCAAAAGTTTGTGAGCTTTAATCAGTGCATTATATTTTCTTTGTGTTTATCAGTAGTTTTTTCTTTTTAAGTTCTCCATCACAACAACATGGTAGTTATATTTTTCCAATGTGCCAACACAACAAAGGAGTAGGTTTTACTGGTGGTATGTCATCTGTCGTTCTTTTGTGTCATTTTAATGTTGCTTACAAGCTGTTCGTTGTTACCATTTTCTAGTAATGTGTAATCATCTAAATCTGATATTTTTTGGAGCTTATGGACTAGTGGCAAGGTGAATTCATCTTTTCAATTTTGTTTGGGATAAGTACTCTTCATCTTTCCTAATATTTAGATATTAGATTAAATTAGAACCAAAAGAGAACTTGGAGGCATTCTGGGGAACAACACATGATAGATAAAAGGAGAGGTTAAAATTGCATGATATTTTACCAAATATTTGTTTCAATGGAATTTAGTCATTCCTTTTTCAAGCCTCTTCTGAATTCTTCCAGAAAACCATAGAAAGGATATGGTTTAATTTTAAAAATATTGAATGTTATCTAGGGATTATATAAAGAACTGCATATTTGCATACAGATTTTGAATGTAGTCACGGAAACTGTTAAATTAAATAAGTGCCATTTAATTAAGGAAAAATTACTCTCAACTTTATGGGATGGATTCTGATTTGGTCAAAATTATGTATTGTCATAGAGGTCTGAACTGCTGTCAGCTGCATGATGGCTAAGTGGTGACTTGTGAGAAGTGAGTTTTATTGCAAAGAGCCCCTACAGTCACATGGATATCTATTTGATTGAATATTTTTTTTTCTTTATTTTTACTTTGATAACTGTAGCTAGCATTTCTTTGTGGTATTCATATTCTTCCTGTTAAGAGGGAGCAGCTGCTCTACTTACAGTAGAGCTCTTGAAGTTGTCATCAGCCTGTGTCTATGATGGAATTGTTTATCATGTGGAAGTATATAGGTGTGGAAAAAAGATGCTTTCTTTCAAATGCAGAGACATGACTAAATTATTGTCTAATATGTTAAAGAAACCGATTAGAATATGAGCTGGTTGTTCCTGAGTGCTTGTTGACCAACTTGACATGGATTGCTTACATCTCACAAGTTGGGAATTGTTGCATTTGCTTTTAGTTCCTTTCAATCAATTGTTTACATGTGGGGGTCCTAGCGAGTCGTAGTGAGGGCATTACAGAAGCAGTGATTAGAGTCCACAATAAAGTTGTTTAATAGTTGAATATCCAATAAGATCTTGAGGGGACATTTGACTTCTTAGACAGTTCCTTTTTTATACTCTCTTGTGGAGGTTTTAATACTATGGAACTATATGATGCACAGTTTTGATCTAACAAGTTGTTGCGACATGATCAGGTCTATGATCAAGTTTGTTGAGTAATACTTCACAAATCCAAAATACAAAGTATGTTGTGCTGCTGTGGAAAGATGTGTTGGTCGGTTTGAGTGCTTGACCTATTTTATGGATATAACCTACGTTCAAATGGTAGGAATTGTGATATATGTGAGTTGTTTCTTTAGAGTTGGGTTTGACTGTTAGGGCATTGTATATAGCAGTTCTGATACTTACAGAGAAAGAAAGAAATTGGAGTGGACTTACTTAGTCCCCTGGAACACCATGATCTCAATCAAGTTCTGTTGGGACATAATTTTCGCCAGAAATAATAAAATCTTTTTATCAATTTTCTTGTGAATTTAGTTAATATGTCTGCATGTTGCCTGAAATATGCGATTTATGTGAATCTGGTTGACAATGGTCAACGTTACAAGGTCATGTGATTTTCTATTTTTCTCTTCTGGATCTTGTTGTGTACAATAATTTCTTATGTCATTGCCTTCTATCTTAAATTCTTAATTCTCTGATTTATTATTTTACATTCTGAAGGTTCTTGCTGATAGGCTACCAGAACTTCTAGATTTTCACAAGGACCTTTTCAGCTTGGAAGTTGCATCGAAGGTACACAATGTTGAAGTAAGACTTCACTGATGCACATGCGTTTCTTTTATTTTGATGTCTAAGCTGTTCTTAACTTTTCTACAGATACAATTGAAGTCTTTGGCTGAAGAGATGCAAGCCATAAGCAAAGGATTGGAGAAGGTTGAACAAGAACTTACAGCATCTGAAAATGATGGTCCTGTATCAGAGAACTTTCGTAAGGTAATGGATATTTCATTAGCTATTTTGGATGTCATTTTGTTTGATAAAGGATTTGGTTAATATGGCTATTGTGATTCTAGGATCTTCTTGTGCGCAATAACATAAACGTTTAGAAGATTATGTGCTTGAGTATCCAATAGTGAAATGAATTTCACAAAGGGTTTTGGGATTCATCATTTTTAGAAGGTTGAAAAATGATGAAAGTCAATGACTCCTGTGGAACTTTTGTCACAACTCAAAATTTTTGACTGTATGTGTATATGCTATATAGACATCTGTGTACTTCTTATGAAACCAGACAGAGTCTACAAGTTGAAGATATATGGTTTTGGGATTTTCATTGTGTTTGTACTTCTGATCAAACGAAAACCAGGCATTTCCTGCTGGTTAAGCTTCCAATCAACTCAAGTTCATTGTGTCCACATTGTATTACTGTTTATGTAATGTGACTATAACGCATTGCGTTTGGTTAAGTAGAATCTAATTTCAGATAGCGTATCACACATGTTTGCAATTTTTATTGCATCCACAGCTAGCTACTCTGAACCTGCCCGAAATGATTTATGACTCAAGCATGTTTTCTTTGTTCTGGAAAAGCCTTTGGACAACCCTTTGTAATTGGTTTGTTTTTTTTATTTTTTGCTGTCTTTTATTTTTCCTTAGGGCTCGGGGAATCATGTATACTGCCATCTTGCCACTAATTGTATGTGCTGTTCTCATCTCCCCATTTAGATAATTTGGACAAAATGGGATGATTCAAAATTGATTCTAGTATTAATATTGATGTTCAATTATGGAAATTTACATTACTTGCAGCATTCCAGTCAATGTTAGGTAATTTTTTTTATTTTTTATTTTTTATTTTTTATTTTTTATTTTTTTATTATATATATAGATATATATATATTTTTTATTTTTTCATTTTCTAGGTTTTTGTTGCTTAAAAGCATACTTATTGTGCAGACCTTGAAAGGTTTCCTGGTTGTTGCTGAATCTGAAGTTCGGTGCTTGACTTCACTATATTCTGGAGTAGTAAGTTTATTATTTTAATTAATGGGACAAGTTTATCATTCTGAACTAGGAACATCCTTCTTATGGATACCATTCTCATAGTGCTTATTGATTTAGACCTGTCTCCTTTGCTCCTTACATGTTGTTATTGAATGCCAAACAGGGTAGAAGTGCAGATGCACTTGCTCTTTATTTTGGTGAAGATCCTGCACGCTGCCCTTTTGAACAAGGTATAATCCAATCTATTAGTTTGGTCCTTTCTTAGTTGGTCATCAGCAAATGAAGACAAAAAGTATGAACCAGAAAAATTTGTTGCAGTTCATTGGTTAATCTCCCTGAAAATTTAATTTTTGGTGCTTCAGTCACTCCAATTTTTTTTTTCAGAAGTCTTATTACTTAAGATCATTATATAATATTTCTCTCAAAAGATTATTATATACTATTACCAATTCTTCTCATTAAAGAGAATTTACCACTACCGAGCTGATGAGTTTCTGTAGATTTGAAAATGGTTCCATTATGTTAAATTGAATTTATGTCAGGCTTTTACATCCATCATCTTGTTACAACTTTACTCCTTATTTTTATAAATGCTCTATTCCATATTGTTTGGTAATGGCATCCTGATTTTCTCTCAAACACGAAAACTTTTCATGCCTTATTAATTCTCAGTAGATCTTGCCGAATCCTTTGTACATAATTATGACTCTGAAGAACCATGTGCTTATTGCTTGCATCATGACATTGTGAAGTCCGCATAAATCCAGCACCTTTGCGTACCATGTCTTTTGTTGTTTGATTGGTTACCAGCATGCAACTTTGCAAACTTTTTCCTTCTTCTTCCTTTTAATTACCTGTAATTTAATCTGACTACCTCAAGGTTGCAACAAGCCAGCATCAACCATGTTCCAGTTGAACCATGGACTTCATCTCGAACTGCCCCTGCCCTGCAACTTTAGTTGTCAATTGACAATTGGAGCAAAAAATATGCCATTTAGTGTAATTAAGAGACTTTCTAGAGAGATATCCTTTGTAGTGAGAAAACTTTCAAGTTTGGAGTTAAGTAAGCTTTTGTGAATTTGAGATTTGAGTATTGTTTGTTGATGCATGCTTTGTACAGTTGTTTCCACTCTCTTGAATTTCGTGAAAATGTTTGTGCGTGCTCATGAGGAGAACTGCAAGCAAATAGAGCTCGAGAGAAAGAAAGCACTCAAGGAAGCTGAAAGCGAGAAGATGAAAGTCTCTACTCCAAAGAGAGACACTGAACATGTAATGAGGTCCCCTATTCGGAGTGGCAACTTTAAGTAGCGATCATCTTTCTTGTTTGCTGAAAAGATACACACACCAAGTTATGAGATTTGCCCTTCTGGCTTCTCATTTTGATTTTTGAGTGTGCTCCAGCCGACAAGCAGTGGAGATAGAGGAAACACACCATAAAGAAAGCCTATTCCAAAGTGCTCACGAATTATAGTGCTTAAGATTGGGGTTTCTTGATAGCCATGATAAACTCAGGTGAAGGAAATTAAAGAAGTGTACATGTGAGGATAGACAAACTTTTTCTAGTTCTATGTTGTGGTTTAGCCGGCCTCCTTTGTATTTTATGAGGTTAGTATCTTATAAATTTTCATATATTTCTTTTTTGACAAAGATACAAGTAGCAGTGCTGATTTTTTCTCTCTTTTTCCTTGCAACAGAGGAAGGTCAGTGGATCACCATCGGAGCCATTTTGTAAGATATTCTCTTAACCCAAATTCTTCATATTGTAAAGTTTTTCTTAGATAAATAGTTTTCTCTTTACCCATGATTTTCTCCTTCTGGGTTGCTGTAAATCAAATTCAGTTTTTCCTGAGGAATAGAGGGATGTAACCAAGGTATTATTTGATGGATGCTAACAGTCTACTGCCCATGCTTTTTATTTCAGTTTCCTTTTTTTATATTCATGGGAGTGATACTTTTTTTTATTCTTATTTCTTTGACTTATTTTTATCTGATTTCTCTTTCACCTGTTAGAACCATCTTTACACCAAATGACCAAAAAGGTTTTTAAATAAAATTATTTGCATGATTAAGAAAACTATAAACTTATCTGTTTTCTTTTTTATTTGCTTTTTGGGAGCTAATGTACTGGTTGGTTTGACCAAACTGGTGGACAGTTTGCTGGTTCAGTATCCAACTGGTTTGGGTGCATTTGTTGGTATTTTTGGTTTTTGATATTTGTCATTAATATTCTGGTCTACTTTGTGTTGGACAATAATCTATTGTTTCTCAAAGCAATATCTATGGTTCTGATTCTTATGATGGGCGTCAAATAGAGGTGAAATGAGTATTTTTAAGACATATTAGCTGTTACTTTGACCATGGAAAAACTACTACTTAATCCCCTTTGAAGTGATTTGTGTGGTTAATTAGTTAAACCCAAACATTAATTAAATACGAAAGTGCAATGCTTGAGCAGCAAGCCAGCACAATAAATAAAGCTGAAATGTCTTTTAGGTTACCTAGACTGCCTACTCATTTACTTTTTCTTTCAACTCTCTTTCTCTCTCTTTAAAGTCTCAAATTTAAGAAAATTATCCATTGATGCCATGGCCCTTGATTCACGGTTTTTGAATACAATAAATGATGAGGCACCCATTTAAAAACCCAAGCAGAGGAAGGAAGCATGGTATCGGTGATAACTAGTTTCGTACTCTTTATATAATACTATAATTTTAGGACGACATGAGTCTAAAGTTGTTAAATCTTTTGTTTTGAGGGAATTTCTTCCACGAGAAGCTTGCCAAAGCCACAACGGATGGCATCTCATTATTGGTGTCTTTTAATATGTCTGGTTTATTGTAGTGCCCTAATTATTAAAATTTATCCATGATTTACGCCTATTTTCTGTTTATGTATAACACTGTATGATGCACTTAAAATTGCTGACAAGTTGACTGCCTTCGAGACTAGAAAAGAAAAGATAACCCAAGCGGTCTAACCCCTGGGGTGGACCCCAATCGAAAGATGCTAGACGAAACTTTGCCAGAGAGAGAGAGACTTTCAATTTCATGCACAGAGTTCTTCTTCTTCTTCGAGAGTGTGTGTGAGAGAGAGACTTTCAGTTTCATGGACAGAGTTCTTCAGTTTCACTCTTCCACTTGGAGCCTTTCGAAAAGCGTTTGGTGACATTGGTGGTGGAGAGAGAGAGAGGGAGAGTTTTGAAAAGCATTTGGTGACATGGGTGGAGAGAGAGAGAGAGAGAGAGAGAGAGAGAGAGAGAGAGAGAGAGAGAGAGAGTATTCGAAAAGCCATGCTTGTTTCAGCGTAAAGCTCTTTTTGGAGAGTTCGTTCTTGGCTTGAGCTTTCCGTCGCATGAGAAAATGGCTTCAAAATCTAAATGAATTGGAAGATACTTTCCCACAAAAAATGCGTCATATTGCATTAAGCACCTCTTTTGGCACAGGAAGGCACTAAGCCATGAAACAAAATCTTTTGGCACAGGAAGGCACTAACCCATGAACAAAGAAGGAAAAGAGTAGTCCAGAAGGAAAAACTTCCTCATAGATTTTATCCTCCAAAAATAAACATGACTCGTAGAGAGACTCATTGTAGATTTTACATCATACAAAGACAAAACTCCTCACCTACTTTAACTATTCATATAAATTAGGGTGAGGTTTGTATAAGGTGCCCACCTTATATTATATAAGCAAGGTATACTAAATTTTGTTGGAAGACAGCTTTGGTGTCAAAAACCTGGCTTGAAAATTTATGTTTAATTCTAATTATGAAATTTGCAACTCCAAGAACAATGCAGATCGAGCAGATTTATAAGTACTTAACAAAATAGACGTCGAAATAACGTGTTATATGTATACTAGTTTTATAACTTTTAGTGGATTTTTGAGGCGGACCTTTCTTCTATAGTATAAAGTTGTAACCCAATATGAATTTTTTTCCGTAGGAGGATGCCCCCATGCATAACGCATAATATCAAATGGTAGTGAATTATATACACGTTCCCTTCTCTTCTAGGTTTCAAATATTACTCTCTTGTTGTTCAACTCCTTCCCTACCGCTAATTTGATCGAATTATTCACCACAAGATCTACAAAGCCAGTGCATAGGCGTACGATTATTCCCGTTAGGGGCAGGTGGTGCTCCAAAAAGTGAAACATGTTACTAGTGGAGGTGGAGTAAGAAAGAAAAGCAACAACAAAGAACCATCTCCCCAGTACTAGAGACTGGGCCGGCCCTGAACGGGCCCGGCCTAGGCTGGGCTGTTTGTGGCCTAGGCGTGGTCCTCAGCCAAGTTGGCTTGGCCTTGGGTTAAATGATATGGTCCTAGCGGCGTGACTTTTTGGGGACGGATAGGGCCAAGTGTCACGCCCATTGCCAGCCCCAATTTTCCGACATGAGTGACAGCACCGGACCATTATCCATGGCGGGGCTGGTTTCATTATTTCCGTTCTTCCTCCTGCCTTGGATGCGATGCACATGGGAGTGAAGACGTAACTAAAGGGCAGAGAGTGTGACCACTCGGGTCCACCACACCAACCGCATTTGATCTTTTTGAGGACAGAGAAAGCAAAGGGCCTAACATCTTCATGACAATTACTTATATCCCATCACTTATTGGTTTCAACCGTTAATTACTTCCACAACCATTCATTCATTCCTAAGCATTAATATGATTTCAGTTTAAAGCAATTGCAACTTTGTAACAACTGATTCACCAAAATTTTATTTTTCTAACAACTCCATGAGGGGGAGAGAGAGTAATAACCCTCAACATGTAACTGGAGGTCACAAGAGAGATGACAAACTTGCGAAAGGAACCAGTACATGGGTTTTAGAGAGAGAGATAGAGGAACCGGTAAATGGTTTTAGAGAGAGAGAGAGAGAGAGAGAGAGAGAGAGAGAGAGAGTACGTACGTACGAACGTAACGGTAACGTAACGGTAACGTAACGTAACGTAACGTAACGTAACCGTAACCGTAACGTAACAACTAACAACTAACGTAACGTAACG